TATTTACTATTTTCAACATCTTTGCTGAACCAGTGAGTTTTCCCCTGACCTTTAGGTAGCTTTGGCTAAGCTAGTAACTTGAATTTCCCTAAGGTTCACCTGGTAAGTCAGCAACACCTAACAAAATGATTCATAAATAGTAACCCATAAAGGGCCCCAGCAAAATGATCTGCTGTTGAAGAACTGTATTCTCAGGTGGAACCTCCCTGACAAGCTTCTCAGTTGTAACTAGACCAAGAGCATCAGCTACAATTTCCACTTGAAGAGATGAGAACTAGGAATCAGTACTTAGAAGCACTTGGAAGTTAAGAATGCTAACTCCGGGGGCCAGGGGGCCAGAGTTCCAGCCACACCAGCTCACTGTCAGTTCTTACTCCCTCAGGGCCCCTCCTCCCCCACCCTCCTCACCAGCCTGACCACAGAGTCATGTGGCTCCTTTTCAGGGCTCAAACAGCACCATTCTTTTCTTTCCCCCTGGCTCTTGGGGCCTGAACTTGGCCCTACCCAGGCTGGGCCAGCATTCCACACTGCGCCACATGCCTACCCCTCGGGGAGTTTGTCTGAATCAAGGACTTCATTTGGCGAACACAAATGGACGGGAATGCAATATTGCCTTACTTCTCCAGATCCTGCCCTTACCTTAGACAAATTGCTACTCTATTTTAGAAACTTTAAACAACCTGTACAGGAACTTCTGACCTGAAAATACAAAAAACAGGCAGCGTCAAATATTTTAAAATTTGTTTATTTTAAAATAATCAACAAGAACGAATAGCTTGAGTTCAGAATATGCAAAAAAAAAAACTAACAAAATGTGACAATATAAATTCGTCTGCAGATTAGGATGGTGAAAAACAGCGAGTTCCACAGCTCAACAAAATACTCAGTTTCTTTACATACAAATAGGCAATACAGAGAAAATGAAACTCTTGAGCAACGAACATCTACATCACAAACATGGCTTATGACAGCAATGGTCTATTTTTCTTTCTTCTTTTTTTTTTTTTTTTCTGTCTTTTTGAGACAGGGTCTTGCTGTGCAGTTCAGGCTGGCCTTGAGCTCACTTTGTAGCCCAGGCTGGTCTCGAACTCACAACAATCCTCCTGCCTCAGCCTGCCAGTGCTGGGATTACAGCGTGCACCACCAAGTCCGGCAGTAATGGTCTAATACACACATTCTCAATAGCAGGGGCAGATTCAGCACACTCAGAAGCTCAGACCAGGAAAACAGTCCCCAAGCCACCCAATCCTGCTACGGCCCACTGATAATTTTAAACCTTTTAATCATTAAATTACAAGTCTTACAATTGTAAGGCCTTACAATAATAACAAGGCCTTACAACAACAGG